ATCATTGGAATAAACCTGTACAATCATTTGGTGATAATCGAGAACACATTTTAAATGTGCGATAAACCAGACGTTCAGACTGCAAGGTTGAGGAAGTGATCAAGGAGATGCCATTTGTTGGCTTTGGTCCAGGAACATTGGATATACATGAATCCGAGAAGCGGGTCAAGTCAAGAGGAGAGGAGCTGTTAAGCAGGCATTGTTTCCCGATGTACAGGCATTAATGGGGTAGTGGTAACCTGGGTCGTTGCCATCCTTTGTGATATCGACCCGCCGGGGGTTCGATTCCCCCTTAATGCAATATGCTTGATGTGACTCTTTTTCTATCCCAAATTTAATAATCTCTCGCCCCACAAAATAGGCAGTTCAAAGCAAAGCATGTGATAGTAGAAGTTGTATTAGTATACCTATCTTACCACCATGGTCTACTCGCTGACCACCGGGGTCCTGAGATCATCCGGATGCAACACAACTAAAGATCTCAGCAGCATCTGTCATTCTGAAACCTTCTCTCAATTTCTATCTGTGCTTACCTTTTTCCCTACCTCAGCACTATAGGCATATTCTTTGTTACAAGTGAGGCATCTTTTCACAACTTTGCAATGTCTTTTGTTCACCCTCTGTCCTCTGATCTCTGAGCTAATACATATTTCCTCGGACTGAACCCAGAACTCTTCTTGTCCTCCTGTCTCTATCCTTCCTTGACCACCCCACATCCTCTCTTCATCATCCATATCAAAGTCTTGTTCAGCTCAAGATCAAGCAGAGAGATGCTCCTTGGATATTTGTAAAGTGATCACTGAATTGTGCAATGCCCTAATAGAAGAAACCTCTCTGATAAAGAGGATTGTCAAGGTTGGATAAACAAACTATAATTGGCCATATTAAGTTCATAGAATACTGATTCCATCGCAGAAAATAGCTCACAGAGATACCCCTATACAAGGCTGCAAAGGCCAGATAACCATAGTATGATGGGAGTGAAGAAGTTACAGGCAGAAATTGAAGGGAAAACATCACAAGCTGTAGAAAAGTGAATGCTTGAGTATGAATGGCATATACCCTAGACCATACCTGAAGAACACAATAGATGGCTCCAGATTCTAGAAGAAGATTCAAGATACGCCATGATCCCATAAACCTTTTACGTGAGATTTGGATCTTTTGTAAGAATCGGAGATGTCTCCTGTATCTAGCATTGACTTTCGAAGGATGTATGTCATGTACAAGCACTCACTGCAAAGTCATTCCAATTAATAATGTGGCCACTGCGTTGGTAGACAGAGACAATCCGAAGAAAATGTAACCCAAGAAGTCCGCATGGACATCTGCAATAGTTGAAACTCTAATGTCTGCAAATCCTTGGTCTCTAGCGGGGCTCCCACTACTCCAACCATGGCCAAGGCTGAAGAGTGAACAAAGAATCAAGTATACCAACATTATCCCTTTATAAGACAGACATTGAACAAATACCAACACTAAGAACTACAATCTCGGGACGTACCAAAGGAACAGATACAGAGACCAACTGCAAGCATCAGCGTCCATCTTTGCCTGTCAAATATAAGCCATGCACGCCATATGATTATTGCATCATTGAAAACCAGCTGATGAGGTGAGCAAGTGGTTTGGTCAGAAGATATGTTGAACAAGTTTTTTTTTCGGACACACAGGAAAAGTAGAAAGCCACAGCATCGAAATGGGGATTGCATTCATGTGTAGATTATTGGCCTCGGAGACGCTCACATAACTTGAAGCCCAAAACCCGCCGTTAAAGAAGACCAAACGTGGGATGCTGCTCATCCAATTCAAGCCAGTATAAGCAAGACTGGTGAGTAAACTGAATGAGATAATGACCAATGTTGCTCGGGAATGCAAAGATTGTGTATTGTGCCTGAAAGAATCGTGATTAGGGTCTGTCATTGATACACTTGAGCATGCATGTCTACTCAATGATGGTGTAAATTGCCATGATGTACAGGGGGGTAAATATCCCTGTCGCATCAGAGTATGCAAAAAATCCAGAAACAACAGATAGCAAAGGCACATGAGTAAAATGACATATAATACAGTCACCTACATACCTGTGCATAGGAGACCAATTGTCAAATCTACAAGCTTTGACGCCATCGTGTTGCCTGTATCCTGCAGGGTGGAACGTATCTCCGGGATCCCAAATGACATTCCTTTTCAAACAGACTAGAGGAAAGTTGTTCTGGAAAGCGGCTTTTCGAAAGTTAGGGTTTGCTATTGTGGAGGTAGGTGGAAACAAGCCTATTGGATGAGTATGAGGGATTTATAGGCCTTCATGACCGGCATAATCTCCGGCAGGCAGTTGCCACTTCTTTGATCGTGGATAGGAGAGTTGAAACGTTGCACTTGGGCTCATCACGAGCCCGTCCCTGAAAGGTGAAACATCATGCCTTTTGGTACAACAAACAAAGTGAGGATGCAGAGGGGTGTGGTAGAAGGGCTGGCCTCGTCCCATAAGAACGGTGATGAATTCTGTTTAACTCGCCCGCGAAAGCATCTTGGCATTTGGCATCTAAACTCTTTTCCTCGGACCTGTGTAACCCCATAGAATCAGGATCCACGACACGACACGACATGACATGACATGGCACGTCACGCGTCATATCTGACTTACTTACAACAACAACTTCCAACACACGTGTTTCAGTGCATGTTTCACTTAGCCCTAGTGACGGTTGCATTTGCACGTGCACATGAGGAGAACATATACATATATATATATTAGGTTTTGGCTTCGGATTTTGGGTTTTGGGTTTTGAGTTCTTAAGTTCTTGAGTTTCTGATGATCGATGATTGAAGTCGGCGAGGCTGAGCCCCGGCGATGTCTTACTTATAACTTGGTTCTGATAGCAGAACCTATATACATCTACATACAATGTATCAATACGAGTACGAGTACGGATACGCGATGTACAACTGCCAAACGGGGAAGTAGGGGGGTGAGCGAGTAAGTAAGGTGGGTAAGCGGCATACGAATTCGAATCGTACGTGAGGGTGTACATACATACATACATATATACATATATACAACAAGTTGTATAAGCACAAGATGAAGGATGAGATTAGATTAGTATTTTTTTTGGGAAAGATGGGAAGAATAAGTTAGGGGGAGGGAGGGGAGAGGTGGGTGGTGCGAGGGAGGTGGGGAGATGAGGAAGGGGAGACGAGGAGACGAAGAACAAGAAGAACGTAGTGTTCGACAAAAAAACACCTAAAACCACAAGTGCTCGGGATTTCCAACCCCCACGCCACCTACGCTACGCATTGGCGACCTACAGCAAAAACCCAAAAGCATCAGCAACCCACTCAAAGCTCAAAACTCAAAGCTCAAACGAAACACAACTCGCCTTCAGGACCCTCGGCTGCTCCGCGTCGGGCTCACAATAACTGCCCCTCTCATCACTCGCATGTTCAAGCTCACGCTCGTGCGCATCTCCGCCCTGCACACGCCTCGGAACGCCATACCCATCCACATACCCCGCATACGCATCCTCACCGCCTCTCCCTGGTCTAAGCTGCAAAGGCAGCGTATCAAACGTGTTAGGGAGATACTCCTCGTGGTGGGTCAACGCCGACGGCGTGGAACGCACAGGGGGATCGAGGCCGGCGGCTCCGAGGAGCTGGTGTGAGGACGTCAGGGTGTATGCGTGTGCGTGTGCGTGTACGGGGGTGGTGGGGTCCGCGTAGGTGTTGTAGCCAGTGATAGCAGCAGGAGCAGGAGCAGGCCCCCCATGCGTATAATCTGCTGCAGCGGCAGTGGCGGCCACAGCGACAGCAGCAGCAGAAGTGGTAGAAGGATACGCAGCAGCAGAAGAATACGCCCCATCATGCTGCATATAACTCAGGCCCTGAGCATGCCTATACGCAACGGCGGGGGCATACGGATCATACTCATACGCCATATACGCCATCCCCGCGCCGACGCCCGCGATGTGATTTGGCGGCAGAGTGTCCGAATGAAAGTCGCTTCAGACCTGATCGAGACACATATTTCGTGAAAAGACAGGTGAACATGTTGATACGTGAAATGTTCACTGATGTCACCTGGGAGCATTGGCCTTGGGTTCAAACGTCAAATGTTAGAGATTCAAGATTCAAGATTCCATCCTGGAAGGGAATGACCCAAACTGTTTAACTATCTGTGTGGAGACTACAGCTACTCCACGCGATTTGGGTACTCGATGCCATTCATCAAGCGGAGACAGTCACGGTCCGTGCCCATAAGGACACCCCGTTGAATCACAAAGTAATGTTGATCCCTCTCGGGCAAACAAAGCTGATTGCGATTAGATCCAGACTCCTCGGCTAAATTCGAAAACAAAGGTTGGAGCTTGTCTTCCTCCGGGACATACCATTGATATAGATACCGTCTATACAGCTGGTTACTCCTACAGAGACGTCTAAACTTGTCTGAGTATGATTGCCAGCATAGTGATGTTTTGGGCAATGTTTATCATAATATAATGTGTATTATCGGCCACCATTTTCCATTAGCTCATGACTTCATTTCTTTTACATGATTTATAGTAGCTTAATCTTCTCACACCATATGGGCCTGGCATCCCACGTCCGTCGAGAGCTCCAAAATGTATCTGCCTCTTCAAGATACGTTGTCCTCCAAATACCCTTCTGATATACAATCCATTTACTACTCTTTCCGCTTCACCGAACCGTCCATATGTCGCTCGGACCAGATAAATTACTCCTTGACATTCCTGACCCAGTAGGCAGTCTTTTTATATCATTAGAATAAACCTGTGCAATCATTTGGTGATAATCAAGAACACATTTTAAACGTGCGATAAACCGCTCGTTTAGACTGGAAGGTTGAGGAAGTGATCAAGGAGATGCCATTTCTTGGCTTTGGTCCACAAAACATTGGATATACATGAGTCCGAGAAGGTAGTGCGGCGGGTCGAGTTGAGTTGAAAGGAGCTGATGGGCAGCCATTATCTCGTGCTGTACAGGCATTAATGGGGTAGTGGTAACCTGGGTCGTTGCCATCCTTTGTGATTTCGACCCGCCGGGGGTTCGATTCCCCCTTAATGCAATATGCTTGATGTGACTCTTTTTCTATCCCAAATTTAATAATCTCTCGCCCCACAAAATAGGCATTCAAAGCAAAGCATGTGATAGTAGAAGTTCTATTAGTACAACTACCTTACCGCCATGGTCCACTCGCTGACTACAGGGGTCCCAATATCATCCGGATGCAACACAACCAAACATTTCAGCAGCCTCTGATACCTTCTCTCTCAATTTCTACCTAGATGACAAGTAATTTAGTAAAAAAGATTAGACATTCAGAGGATGAGGGAAGAGGGGAGGGGAGAAGAGAATGAGTTGGGGGCGGATAGGATAAGAGAGCGGAGAGAGGAGAGGTAGGAGAAGAAGGAGAGACAGAGTTTAATTAGTACAACGTACAACGTACAAGGGGGAAGACGCGAGGCGCGAGGTGCGAGGTGCGAGGGACAAAGGAAGGAACGCAAACACAGTATTAAAACGAGTTTCCAAACCAAAACACGAAGAATAATTCAAATCAACCAATCAACACATCAGAAATCCACATCCCTCAATCACTGCGCCCTACGCATTCACGATCTACACAAAACCAAAATCAGCCTCCACGGTGTACCATAGCCACTGAGTTTAGATGGGGTATTGCATCGTGTGATGGATAAGGTGGGTAGACAGACATGTAAGCTGGAGAATAGAAGGAAAGGGTGCCGAGTGAAAGGACAGACGATGAAGACTGATAACAACCAAGTCGAATACATAGCCTTTAGCTTACAATGAGAATAAACGAGGCCAGAAGGAGGGAAGACGGAAGATAGCGAGGGAAGATTCACAAATATAGGTCATCCGAGTCTTATTAAGCTTCGGCGGCGTCGGCGGCGTTGGCAGCAGTGGCGGTGGATGATCATGCCCACTACGAAGATGAGGAGCCCAAGAACAATGAGGCCGACGAGGCCGACGACGGTAAATGTGCCTGCGACGGCACCAGTGTTTTGGAAGAATCTCGTGGGGAGTCAGTCTCTCATTGAGATGAACATGTATACAATCGCACCCGTTACTGGAACCAGAGTCTGAAGCAGTAGAGGATGCAGGAGGCAATGTAAGTGTAGACGTGAAAAGCACGACGCTTGTCTGCGTCACAAGTCTCCCAGAAGAGTTGGTGCTTACTACAAGAGTAGTAAAAGATGAAGTTACCACAGCTGTGGTGGTGCTAAGCGTTTGTATGGTCGTGGTTACTGTACATCGATCTCAGCAGGACTTCTGCCAGTCGTCACAAGCGAAAAAACGCACCAAATATAGCTGAACTCGCTTCAATCGAAGGGGATTCATTGGGGATGGTCCTTATGAAAGTTTCGCTGCTTCTGCATTTCAAACATTGAGTCGGGAAGATAAAAAAGACAACATAGTACCAGTACATACGTAAGAGTAACTGTCCACCATCCTCATTAGCATGCCTAACAGTCGTCACACAAAGGAAAGGTCACCAGTCGTAAGATCCGGCGTCTGTGATGTCGGTGGGGGGTTTCCAGAGATAGCCGTTACAAATCCTATCACTGCATGCTATCCTCATCAGCACTCCTATGAGTTGTCAAAAGTAATAAAGAGATGTCACCAGATGAATCGCCTAAAATGGACGATGCGAACGGTATTTTGGTTACTGTACATCTTTCTCAGCAGCACTTCTGCCAGTCGTCACAACCGAGAAAACTCACCAAATGCAGGCGTACTAATTACAACTGAATGTAACATCGATGGGGATTCATTTGGGATATTCCTTGTGAACGTTTCGCTGCTTCTGCATTCCAAGCCTTGAGTCGGGAAAGATGAAAAAAGACAACATAGTACCAGTACATACGCAAGAGTAACTGCCCACCATCCTCGTTAGCATGCCTGTCAGTCGTCCAAAGGAAAAACTCACCGGTCGTAAGATTCGGCGTCTGTGATGTCGGCGGGGGGTCGCCAGAGATAGCTGTCATAGATCCTAACACTGTATGCTATCCTCATCAGCACTTCCATGAGTTGTCAAAAGTAACAAAAGAAATACTAGCAGATGAACCGCCCAAAGCGGACGATGCGAACGGTGGAGGGGTGCTGTGGATGGTCGTTGGAAGGATATGTCCTTCTAGCGCTGCATACCATGGTCGTCAGCCACTTGTACCAGCTACATAATCCATAAGAGTATTCACAAGACATGGCCAAAGTCTATAAGTCAAGTAAACGAAGGAAGAAGGGGGGCGTGTGGAATGCAACAAGGATCATAAGCTTAAGAATTGGTCACAGCCAGCATCAGAACAGCAAGATCGAGATGGGTCGTGTTGTGTGTGAAGTTCGGGTTGGGTTGATGGTAACCAATTCCATGGAAGCTGGTTGAAAGTGAAGTACTAGTGTCGGCCCCTGGGAGAGTACCTCTAGAGCGGTGTTTTTTTCCGGCCAGCTGGAAAGACAGATAGATCAAAGAGTCCCTTGCGACATTCAACATGCAATTTAAACCAGGAAAGAAACGTCGTCAAGAGGTTGACCGTGTGCGGCCAGTGAGAAACCACGAAGATTGCTGTCTTTTGTTGTCGATACTACCAGTTCAAGACATCCCTTCTGTCAGTCCCGAACAAGAATTTGAATCAAGTTTAGGATAAAACCGGAGAGGCCTGGCAAACTTCAACGTTCATCAGTCACATGACGGTGCGCCTTATCCCAAGTTATTACCATGTGCCACTACCGTCCTCCCCATGACTGGATTAGAATATCCATTGAATGCCACGAAATCCCATCCGACGCGTGTATACATGTTTCTGAGTAACGGGTATAGCTTCAAAAATAGAGCAATCAGATGGCAGCACCCTCGATCCTGACGAGATCTGTGTTCAAAGCACAGTACCCGCCGTGCGACGTCATAGTGCTCAAGTCCTATAGTACAAGCCATCCCGGTCATTCACAGTACGCAAACATTACCGAATATCGCTCAACAATTCTTATTATTAATAACGGTGGTATATCAGCAAAAAAGCTCAAGTCGTCTTTCCCTTCTACTACTAGCTATGTAGTATCAAGCGGGATGACCCGTGTTCGAAGCGCGGTACCCCCTCTGATTGTTCCTCATGTTGTTGTTCTTTTCCACTTCACGCCCATGAAGATCTGCGTTCGAACTGCGGTACCCCCTGATTATGAGTTTGAGTCACTTTCAAGCCCAGTCACTTGCGCACGCCTTCCGAGCCCGAGCGCTAGCACACGGATATACAACTTTTCACGCAACTCACGACCACACTAACATGGCACTCGTGAGACGCCGGCAGCGCTCCAACCTTACCTAAGAACCTAGAAACAAAACAACTGTTATTTGACGGACGACGACCTTGCGGTGCCCCCCCTCTCCTCTCTGGCTCCTCTCATATCAGGTATGTGGCTTTATGCATTTTAGCATTTGTAATTTAGCTCAAGGTCTGCATTTTAGCATTTAGTATTCAGCATCTTGGCATCTTGGCATCCAGACTCTTTCCCTCGGACCTGTGTAACCCCACAAAATCGGGATACCACGACCCCCATGACATGACATGGCACGCGTCATGGTCGTACTTACACCAACCTAGTTCTAATAATCCTGATCAATCAAAACACTCTCAGCCTCAGCCTCAGCCCTCAGCCCTCGACCCTCAGACTCTCTCAACACAACTCGTTCCCCACACGTGTTCAGTTCAATCCACGTTTCCACTCAGCCCTCAGTGACTGTGCATTTGCACACGCACACATGAGGAGAACATATGCATACACATATACATACATACATACATGCAGTATATAAACACGACTACGCGAAATACAGACTACCAAACGCAGAAGGGGGGGGGGGGAGTAAGCAGCATATGAATTCGGATTGAAGTGAGAGCATTAACAGCCCCCGCTCGAAATTTTTACATAGAGCACACAGGACGTTCCTGACGAACAAACAAAGTGCGAGTGGGGCTCTCATATCAGGTATGCTTGGTTTCGTTTTGCGTTTTGCGTTTTGCGTTTGGGTTTGGGTTTTGGCTTAGTGTTTTGAGTTCTTGAGTTCTTGAGTTCTTGACTTTCTGAAGACCGATGACCGATTATCAGCGAGGCTCGACGAGACGAGGCTGAGAGCCGCGGCGTACATGGCATGGCATGACATGACATGTCTTACTTATAACTTGGTTCGGATAGCAGAACATATATCTATATATATACATATACATATATACAATATATCAATACGAGTACGAATACGAATACGGATAAGGGTACGCGATGTACAACTGCCAAATGCGGAAGTGGGGAAGCGGGGGGAGCGAGCAAGCGAGTAAGTAAGGGTGGGTAAGTAAGCGAGCGGCATACGAGTTCGGATCGTACGTTGGGGGGTGTACATACATACATACATATATACAACAAGTTGTATAAGCACAAGATGAAGGATGAGATTAGATTAGTATTTTTTTTTGGGAAAGATGGGAAGAATAAGTTAGCGGGGAGGGAGGGGGGAGGTGGGTGGTGCGAGGGAGGTGGGGAGAGGAGGGAGGGGAGACGAGGAGACGAAGAACAAGAAGAACGTAGTGTTCGAACAAAAAAACACCTAGAACCGAAAGTGTCCGGGATTTCCAACCCCCACGCCGCCTACGCTACGCATTCGCGATCTACACGGTAAACCCGAAAAATCAGCAACCCATCCTGAGCCAAAGCTCAAACGAAACACAACTCGCCTTGAGAACCCTCGGCTGCTCCGCGTCGGGCTCACAATAACTGCCCCTCTCATCACCCGCATGTTCAAGCTCACGCTCGTGCGCATCTCCGCCCTGCACACGCCTCGGAACGCCATACTCATCCACATACCCCGCATACGCATCCTCACCGCCTCCCCCCGGTCTAAGCTGCAAAGGCAGCGTATCAAACGGGTTAGGGAGATACTCCTCGTGGTGGGTCAACGCCGACGGCGAGGAACGCGCAGGGGGTTCGAGGCCGGCGGCTTCGAGGAGCTGGTGAGTGGACGTCGGGGTGTATGCGTGTGCGTGTACAGGGGTGGTGGGG